TGCATCCCTCACAAATAATTTCAACAGCTCTTGATATATAAGGGTAAAACACGTCATTTAAGGTATTCAAATCTATTCTCACTCACACATTACTTCTCATTTTTATCACAGACTTGAAAAAGTGGAGTTATGTCTCAAGTAATACTTTCGATGAGACGGAGCTGGGGTTAACACTTCAATCTTCTACTTCTAATTCCTATCTGAACAATATATATTGGTGATAGGTAAGTCACGGGTAATCCGTCAAATAACAATCTATGATTCATCAATAATATACATGCATATAAACCTTGTCATACCCCAAATTTTGACCCCTATATTCCATTATCATTCTAGGAACATCAAGCATATCATTTCTAACCCTAACCATGTTCAAGTTTCTTCTTGTGTGATTCCATCTGAATTAGGGTTTTGGCCCAAGGGAATCAAGAGGACCTTTGCTTGATCAGTCAATATCTTGGATTGATCATCAACTATTAAAGTTTACATACACTCAAGAGGCCTCTATTCATCAAGAATCAAGTACAATTGGGTCCCACTATAAGTTTATTAAAGCCCAACTTTATTTGGCTCCAAATTAGGGTTTTATTAGGAAAAGTCAACTGTGCCTTTGAATTTTGATCAAAGCACGATACCAGGTCTTAGGACATGATTCAATATGCTCATATACATCCTTGGAGTCCATCCATGATGTTTGAAAAGTTCAAGAATGCAATATTACTGAAGATCACAAGTTGAATTCATCTGATACACAAGCTTTATCTGACAAAGTCAACCATTTGACTTTTAGGGTTTTTGGTTCAAATTGAAGCATTCAAGCCAAATTTCATCAAGACATGTTTGATAAATGGATTTGAACATGAAAAATCAAGATTTGGGAGGTTTCTTGCAAAAAGGGCAAAGTTAAGGAAGTGAAAATTTTCTAAGTATGGAGAAAAAACCTAGTTTTTGTGCCAACTTTGAAGAATCATAACTTTCAATCCACACATCCATTTTTTTTAGTTCCAAAAATCAAATTGTAGCTCTCATCACATACTACAAAAGTATAAAACTGATCCATGGTCAAAAAATGCTTAGATTTTGAGTTATGAAACTTCAAAGTTTGGAAAAATCTTTAAACACTTAGAGAATTTTCAAGACAGTTTTGGTTCATTGAAATGCAACAATATTTGAAGCCAGTTTTCACCATGATCCCTTTAGATTAAAGATTTTTGTCAAGCATGAAAGTTGTAAAATATGTTTGGGGCTTTCCAAAAAGTACAAGAACTCCTCAATCTCATTTGTGAGCTAGGAGAATAAAAGCCATGAAGTTAGGGTTTTGAAACTTGAATTTTAAGGTTATGCAATTGATGAACTTGATGCAAATCCAATTCCATACTGCAAATCTTTGTGTTTCAGAAGCTATTACTTGTAAATATTCACTTGATTAGAAGATTACACAAATTTGGGGGCATTACCCATTAAATTAGGACATTAACCACTTGCTCTTTCCATTTTTGGCATAAAGGCGTGACTTCCATTTTGGTAAAGGTGACTTTATGCATAAAGTCAACTTCTTGAGCCTTTAAATTGTTCCTTTTACACTCAAACTTTTTTTGGCACAGAAGCAAGACTTCAAAAGTGCCCAAACACTCTAGAAAGACATGTATTATATCTTGAAACTATGAAAATCCATGAAATTAATACTTGAAATTCAACCAAACCATTTTGCCTCAAACTTGGATTCTATTTTTCCCTCAATCCCTCAACATTTCCTATAAATAGAGGTTCATTTCACACTTCAAAACACACAAGAAAAACCAAAGAAACACTTGAGCAAGCAAGAAAACCAGTATCTTGCCTCAAGTCACCACTTGAAGCCAAAACCCCTCATTTGCAAACCCAAAATAGTTTCCAGCCACAAAACCTTCAATCCACTCACTCACACAAACCATAAAACATATCCTAAGAGTGTCCAAACCACCACAATCATCCAAAACCTCAGAAACCAAAAAGTCAACCCTCAACCCCTTGAACAGTTGACTTTCTGCATAAACCCAGCCAAAACCTGATCCCGACCTTTTCCAAACCATTTGACCATTCAAACTCAAGCCTTAAACATGTATTGAGGTGTACATAACATCATTCCACAACTGTGTGTCCATTTTCACCAGAATCAATATCCACACATTCATCATTTTGCAAGAGAAAGGTACCTACCTATTCTAGGTATTTTTTAAGGGAGCTTAGGCATTGGAAAAGTTTCTAGGAGGATCAAGGGAGCAACGCAAATCTTCATCTTGGTTCTGTAACAGCTCTTGTAGATTTTGGGATTTTGCTCCAAGAGGTAAGTCCACTTCAAACTTTAACTCTCTAAAACATGGTATGTTTTAATGTGTACTAATTAGAAATATGTTATTTATGTTGTTTGTGACATGTTTGATCCATTCTTTGCTATTATTCATGACTGTTTAAGAGTGTACCATAGAAGTTGCAAGCTTGTTTTTTTTTAGGTTTCACTATCATGTTTTGTTTTAGATGCATTTTTTTACCAAAACAAATTATTCCACTGTAATCCTTGTGAAAAAACACATAATTTTCATTTTTGTTTCACTATAACTCATGGAGTATTGAAAGAGATATGTTGGTTTTTGCAAATGGTGAGGTGATGATGTTTCAGCTGCTGCAAGAAGGCCATGGCACCTTTTTGGTTTTAACACTTGGTTTCCCTTATATTATTTGGTTTCCATTTCAATAACGGATGTAACAGACCACTCTAGTGGTGCAACCTATGCCTTGTCGTGTCTTGTGAATGTCGTGTCTTGGGGTCAATCCTTGGTGATCACCCTTTTGGCTATTTTTTCTGCGCATTTCTTTTAGGCATTTAGAACTAGTTTTATTATTTATTTTGACATGCACATTTTGTTTACATGCCACTCACATGGCTCAGTTGGTTAAAGGTTTTAACCTAAACCAAAAGATGTGTGTTCAAGACCTGACTAGACCACTTCCCTTTATTTTAACACCTAGTTTCTTCCATTTTCTTCACAACTTTACAACATCATAACTCATTCATTTTTTAGGCTTTTTAATATATTCTTTTTGCTATGTGTTCATGTTGCTGCCTATTTTATTGTGATATTAAGAAATTTATAAAAACATTTATTTTTCTTGCACTTATGTGTGTTCAAAGTAGGTAACTTTTTATGGTTTCTTTAAGGCTTTCCCTTGGTTCTTTGATTTTCTTTATGCACGTTGACTTGTATGAACCTCTCACACTTTGTATAGACCTTATGTGATGTTATAAGCTTGTGTATCCAAGTTTTAACTTGAATTTGACAATTTTTAGGTGTATATGATAAATGTATTTTGAAGCTTTGATTATACCACGATTCTTACTTGGTCTTTTTGCCCTTGATATGTGACTCTTTTCCATGTCCTATGTGAACTTGATGTGCATATGACATTTGCGTTAATCTTACCATATTTAGGTGGTCATAAATCCTTGACTTTTGTCTTACATGCTTTTGAAATACATGTTTGTATGTTTAAACCATTATGATGTTTCCATCTTTATTCATGACCATGTTGAACCCTAGCATACATGTTTAGGTTGTTACCTACTCGTCTTAACATGTCCAAACTTGTACCATATTTAATTGTTCAATCGATGTCTCAATTTTGTTTACATGATGTTTGATATTTAAAACATGTTATACATGGACGTTTGTGTGAATCTTTGTAAAGTTCCCATTTTGCTTAAGACCATGTTGAAACCCTAATGCATGCTTTCCTTAATCTTGAACTTAACTTGTATCCATGATGCTTTAGTCTTGTTAGAACTATACTTCATGAATGTTTAAATGTTGTAACATCTTTGTTGTCATCATGTAAGTTTGAAACTGATTTGAACGTTGAGTATGCTTAGTTATTACCTTGCTCTTTTTGACTTTGTCAAGTCTTTGTCTTGGATGTTGTTACATTTATTCTCATGCTTTGGTTGTTACCATATGCTTTTTCATGTTATAATTAACATCATGTTTGAATGTTATTAACATCATGCTTGAATATCACACTGATCTCCATCATAATTTCTTTAAACTTTGTTAAGTTGTTTCCCCTAAGTGATGTTAGCTTGTTAGCTTTCATCCTTAAGTTACCTTTTATTTTTCCAAATCCAAAGAAAAGTCTCTCTTTTGACTCAATGTCATAGATAGCTCAGTCTTACCCTTTTCTCTTGCCCTTGTTATAGTCATTAAGCCTCTCAACTTAGACTTGAGTTAGAACCTACAACCCCTTTTGACTTTGTCAAGTCAAGACCTTAACACTTATCTTGTTAAGAGCTAACCTTTAGTTAGTTTTTTAACTTAGACTTAGAGAGTTTGTCAACTCTGCATGAGTGTCATTGTTATGAACACTCATTCCCCTTAGAACCTTGATCATAGTCAAGAGTTCTTCAGATCTAGTGAGGTGAACTACGAATACTCTGATTTCATCCTAGTCAGAATACGTAGACACGAGATGCGATGTCTTGGCGAGCATACTTAGTGTACATACCCTAGGTCTTTACCTTAGCACTTTTTCCTTAGCAAACAAATTTTAACATAACACAAATACTAACAATAGGTTCGTGTAGAGTACTACAGATGTTTAGGATGCTAAAAACTTCTTTAGGTATAATCAATCCCCGAACTTTAGATCTCTTAGCTGTGTTGTTACATAGTGCATTTATGATTTTCTTCGATCTTTATCATTTTCTTTAGATAAATCAAAGTTCGGTGGTGAATTTTATAGATTTGTGATTCAAGTTAATTCAATAGTTGAATGTCCGATTCTCACTGCAACACACCTCCCCAAAAAAAAAATTATACATGAAAAAGATGTTATCATTTAGCAAGGAAGCAATGCATTATTCAATCTACTATAATTAGAGAATAGACTAGCGTACACAAATAAAATTAGAAGAATTACAAATAACCTATGCACTTGAATTTAAATACTAGCTTGTAACTCTGATATAGTTATATCAATCCACTTGAGTATGGAACACCAGTTTGAGGCAACCAACTATCACCATCCAAGAAATTAAACACTGTAAAATTAGCAGCATCAGTAGCATTAATAACATGATATCCAACCCAATTCACTCGCATAGTAGTATTTGAGCCAGGTCCAGTATTATTAAACTCTGCATAATACAAAGTACTCAATGCAAAATCTCCATTCCAATCATGCCAACCAGAAGGATTTATCAAACTGTCCATAAAACATTGCATATAAACCGTCCTTGAATACTCTTTCCACGGCCTTCCAAGATATGTTTTCACCGTAGTAATATTCGGAGCTAAATCATCCGCAGCTTTTATAGTTGAATTATGTATAGAAGTTCCTGTGTTTTGATTTGGATCGGTTCGGCCTTGAGCGGTTATAGCGTTGAACTGTCCCGTGCTGGGAAGACGAGGATAGAGATTGCAGTTTTGGAAAACAACTGCTGCGTTTCCGAATATGAAGTCGACGGTTCCATAGATGTCGCATTCGCGGTAGAATTGTCTCATGGAATGTGTGTATAATGTGTCTTGATAGCCTTCGAAGCTGCAGCTGTAGAAGGTCGATAAATCTGCTCCGTTACGCACTGCTACTGCTTGATGTTTGACTGGCCCGGCTGTGTTGCGGAATGTCATGTTCACTGCTAAGAATCCTTGTGAAACCACAGCTGCAAATTCATGCATGGAAAATCAACACAAACATGATTAAAAAATATATTGATTTTTATTAACCAAATTAAACATGATTAATAGTTGGTTCAAATGTGAACACAGTCACATCAAACACATGATTAATTAATTTTCATGTATATTAATTCATGTGTAAGTAAAGTGCTTATTAACAATCAAACACTCAAAATATAATTATAAAAAAGAAAATCAACGTGACTTTTTTATTGATTCTACTCTAAGCATGCTCATGAATATGTGTTGCTTGAAATTAAGGACATCAACAAGCAACGCATGATCTGCACGAAATTGCAGAGACTAATCTCTCAAACTAGAAAATACTAGAATGGACGGCAAAACTCTTACTCAAAATATTTAACACTGATGCGTACTCAGAGATGGATTCAAACCAAGGACTACTAGTTATATTAGCAATGCTTAATTAACTTTGCTTACCGAATGTTGCCGAGTTGAACGTTGTAAAATTATCAACAACATTGTGATCACCGGTAATAACGGTTCGATTAATTCCGTCTCCAACCATCATCAAGTACTTCTTTTTGCTAGGTATAGAAACATATTCTTGATAAACACCCTCAGTAACAAAAATCAAAAAGTAACCATTACTAGCAACACTGTTATTTGGTGCAACATTTATAGCATCATTAATAGTTGTAAAATCTCCACTTCCATCTTGATCAACAATTACAATATTGCTCACTGTTACATTTTCATCAATCGTTTGAAGTAGTTTTCTCCCATGTCTTCTAGCTGAATCATAACGCGCGCGTACTTTATCAGACATGTTTAACGGTAAACGACCGTTATGAAAACCTAGATTTCTTCCATTGTGTGACGATGATGTTTGTTTTTTGTTATCACCAACCCAACCCTTTAAAAAAAGTGCAAGTGACACACTATGAATCTTTTCATCATTAGAGATTGTTGATGATAAATCATTTACTACTGTTTGATCTGAAGAAGTTGTATTCAAACCTTCTAGACATGTTTGTGTGTTTGTTAAAACAGCACTAAGCAAGGTTTGAAATTCTTCACCTTGAGAAAGAGGAAGAATATTGCTAGTTTTGTTAGCAGTTTGGTGTGTGTTTGATAAGAATTCGAAGTTTTGTTGTGCGAGGAATTCGCAATCTTTAAGAGCTGAAATTGTGGTTTGCGATAAAGATGACTTGTTTTGAAGGTGTGAGAGAACTAGGTTTAAGAATTTTTGAGATTGAGATAAGGATTTTCTTACGGAGAAACGACCGTAGTCGATTACGGTGCCGTTTTGGTTAGCAAGTAGGGTTTTGCAGAAACGAGGGTCTACGGTGGACTCGCATATTTCCTGTGGTGGGATGTTAGGTTTATCAGCTAGGGAAAATAATGGAAATGATGCCAAAATGGATAGTGTAAGAAAAATGGAGAGTTTGAGAATGGAAAAGATCTTGAAGGCCATTTGTTTTTTCTGAATGGAGGAATTTAATTAGGAGTGGTTTTGTACTTAGTTAGAAGGGTTATATGGTTGTTTATATAGGTGAAGAGGGAGATTTAGATCTTAAGAAAATGACATGATGATAATTTAAGAATGAAGATATTGCATGTTAAAAATGTCAACTTCAAAGGAATCTATGTATGCATTTTCCTATTTGTCAAAAAAATAATGTATGAATTGCCTAGTTGATGGCGTGGCAATAGTGACTTTGCATGGAAGAATTAAATGTGGCCACCAACAAACCATTTTTGTCCTTTACGTTAACCTTGGTCTTGGTTCTTAACTTAAAATGTTATATTAATCATTCAACTCTTCAAAATATATTAGGTTAGTTCTTATCTAATTATCAATAAAAATATTTAAAAATTGATGCTAAATTTGTTATTATTAGTGAATGAAAATGATCAAAAGGGTATCTGAGATTCGTCCGATTGTAGTCAAGCATTTTTCTAATCATTTAAGGGAGTTTTGGTGTTTGTAATCTTTGATTGGTCAATCTGTCCCTTTTGGATAAGTGGGAGTGGCGTCTTCTTTTGGGGTCTTCTAACATTTAGCACAATATTCTTGCGGAAAATTATGGTGTAGTCCATATGACTTTTATTCTGGGTGAGAGAGTTGGTTGTCTTCGATCGGTCTCGCCTTGGTGGAAAGGGGCTTCCTTATTAGAATCTAGAGCTCCTGACACTATTATCGCAACTGCGAAAAACATTCGGCGGAAAAAACAGAAGAGTAGCCGCCGAACGCTATTTATTCTGACGGAAGAAAGTAAACGATAAAAGAAAACCTCAAAAAGGGAGAAGACATGGTCATCACAACCAAATCCTGGGTTCGGGAGTCGATCACGTAAGAGGAATGTATTAGCATCCCCTCGTGTCCGTTGTACTCAACGGGATACACGTTTCTTATCTAATCGAAGAGTGTGTTTATCTAAAGCCTACTGCTAAATGGAAACGAAAACGAAAAGGAAAAAGATAAAAGGAGACTCGATAGGACTTCGCCGTCCCAGACCTACGTATTCCTTCGTGCAATTGGAAAGTCAAAGTCAACGTAGTTCAGAAAACTACGGGTGAAAAGGAAGGTTACTCGCCAAGACTTCGTCATCTTGTGCCTACGTATCCTCATTCAGACGAGAATGTGAAAGTTAGAGCGGTCGTAGTTTGACGTACGAGTCGATACATGTTTTTTATGAGCGACGCTAAGTTCTCATTCCAACAGTTAGGGTCGAAGTCTGTTTGCAGTAGAACGGAAAAATAACGCTCTCTTTCTGAAAAGGTTTGGCACACGATCCCGAAGGATGAAAATGACTTGAGTTTGTTTGTGAGTTTTAAAGAAGTGAATTGATTTGGTTTGAGATTCACATTGCACTAAATTCTATGATATAGGAGCGAATGCGTCGCATGATCTCCCTCAGACGAGACGTATGCTAAACACTCTAGACGAAACAATTAGAGACTCTTCACTCATCATTTCTCATATACTTAAGGCTCGTGGCGCACAATATTCATCACATTTATTAAGTGTTTTGATGTTGTTTTGATAGAGAAGAAGAGAAAGAAACACGAAAGGTCTAAGAAGAAAATTCGGTCCTAACGCTGTCATGCAAAATGGCCTAAGGTCGGGATGCGAGAGGAAATTCTATCATAATGTTAGCATGCAAAAGTGGACCTAAGGTTAAGGTTAAGAAGTGACTAACCTAATGTTATCATGCATGGGTTAACTCTTAATGTCTATCCTACCACAAGCTTAATCAAAAATTGAGTTGGACTAGGAGACCCAAAGGGAACATGCAAGAACAAACCAAAACAAGGAAAATAAAACAAAAACAACAACTACAATGACGCTTCAACTTCAGAACAACAATAAAAACACTCAACAAATAAGCACAACAACATTTAACAGCTTATGTTTCAGCACATAACAGGTGTGAAATGTAGCAGGCAGAACAGATGCATAATTAACAGCATGCTAAAATCCAGATTAGCAGGTGTAAAAGCTCATGCATCATGTATGCATCGACACTACAATAAATGCATATGACATGGTGAAGATCCATCATGAATATGCATCAATAAATAAGCACAAATAAGTTCAACAAGATTGCACAACTAAATATTCATCAAGAACACCATGCATATTCAACACCAATTACTCGATCGAACAATCATGCATTTGCGAAATCAGTAACAAACATAAGCATCTGACACATATCTAGCAAGATAGACATCAAGAACCAACAATCACCATTGTGCAAACGAATATGCAACATGATCATCACACCAAGAATGAAACACAACAATCATAGATGTTCGTCAATGAAAACCCGAAGTCGTGTGTCGAAGAATCACGAGCATGCTATCAAGAATGATGAAACATATCAAAACAATCCACTTATATGCATCATATCAATCCGTGAAGTTTAAAAGTGGAAAGGAATCAAAATAAACTTGAAAATGCACACAAAAAAACATTCTGCATCAGTGTTAATCGGTTAACCATTTGCTAGGAAAAATTGGTTAATTGATTAACCCCTTTTAAAATGCCAAAAAACCTGAAAATTACACTGGTTAATCGATAAACCAGTTTTTCCCTACAACTGGTTAATCGATTAACACTGATGCAGTAGCAGAAAAACACCAATTTAAAAGTACTTTTCAGCAATTAATCACTTATGTATTCATCCACATGCTTAAGCAATCAAATATGCACGAAAATTATATCAAATCACAATAATCAAACATCAATTGGATCCAACAAACATAAAAAATCAATGATCAAAACAAGCAATGGATCAAATATCACCAAAAAGTCAAGGATCTACAATGTGAATTGCAAGATTAAGCCAAATCAAAGTTAGATCTAGAATTTACCAACCTACAAAGCTGATATTTGATTTGGTGAATGTTGTTAAGCTACAATTAACAAATCCAAGCAAGAAGTCCAAGGATCTATGAAGCTCTAGCAAGAAAACTTGAAGATCCAAGTAATAATCCACAAATAAGCAAAAACTCTTCAAGAAGTGATTCCACCAACTTAATCAAGATCTAAATGAATCACAAAACCATAATTGAACCAAGGATGATGATACAATGAAGGTTTAGCTCAAGAACTCACAAATTGCAATGTACAATTTGTGAAGTTTTTGGCTATGGAGCTTTTGTGAGAGTTTTGGAATGAGAGAAAAGTTGAGAGAATTGGAGTGAGATGTGTAAAAAAATGAGTGAAATTTTGAGAGGTTTGGAGCAAAATGATTTAAGTATGGTTTAGGTTTGGAATTAAACATGGTTTGGAGTATGGGTTAGTATAAGGAATGGAAATTAGGAATGGAAATGTTTGAATTTTGGAGGGAATTTGAATTAATTGGAAAATAAATCAAATTTGGAACCACTTCTAGATCCTTCTACTGATGTGAAAATGAATGCAAGCAATTGAAATCAGAGCCCCCTGATCCAGCCCTGAAAAAATGTAATATCTGGGAAAATTCTGCACTGGTTAACCGATGAACCAAAATTTCCTAGCAAATGGTTAATTGGTTAACACCTTTCAAATTTGAATATTTTTGGCGCCTTAAAGAGGGAAACTTGGAGAATCGCCTGTTGTCGCCTGCTCTGAGCATAGTTTGGCCTTTGAAACTTGTAATTTCATATTGCACTTGTATAATGCTTGAAATAAACTATGAACTGTCTCCTACACTCAAAATAACCTGATGAAAAAATATAATATGGTACCCGATCGCTGAGCAAAATAAATGTTGAAGCCTCTGATGCTTGCTGCTTAAAAACTTGGAATAAAAGAAAACATTGAGCCATAAAAACAACTTGATCCCATGTCTCAAGAACCAATGCCATGATATGCACAATGATAATACAAAAATGAACGAAACATAATCCAGTTACAGTTAAAAACGAAAGGGAAAATTTTGGGATGTTACAACTACTGACTAGTTCAAAGATAGTATCTCATTGAAAGTGTTGGAATTCAACCACAGCCTATGGAGAATTTTACTTAATATTGATCTCAAGATTTTTATCAATCACACAATAAAAATGAAAAGAAAAGGTTGAGAAAGAAAGAAAGAAAATAACATTGGAGAAGAAGATGAATATTTTCTGCAGAGTTTCTCTCTGCCCACAAACTGTGGAAACTTCTTTATTCACTTGCAACTGTAAAATCTGTGAATACAATGTTTTGAGTTGTGTTTAAAAAATAAGGGTTGCTCCCTATTTATAAATTTAGGTTAGCTTGAACCTCAAGGAAAAGCCCAAAACTATAAAAGCCCAAAATAGTTAACATTACTAAAATAGGCCTAAGTCGAAATCCTGTGTGAAGCAATTTGCTTCGACACACTAAGCAACTCGACACATAGACATTTCGACACAGAATTAAATTCCTAATACACCACATAATTCATTATGTCTAAACTATCTACATTCATCATAGACCTTAGCTTCTTGAACACTTCAATTTGCATTCCTTTTGTCATGATATATGCAATCTAATTCTCAGTTCTGCAGTGTTCCAAATTCATCTTCCCTTCTACTACCTTATCTCAAAGATAATGGAACCTCATTTAGATGTGCTTGCTTCGACCATGTGCTATTGGATTCTTCGTCAGGTTTATAGTTTACATGTTGTCGATCTTCATGGTAATTTCTCCATGACTCTTACTTGTAATCTCTTCTACCAGGTTCACCATCCATATTGCTTGACATGCACAAAGAGAATAAGCTATGTATTCTGCTTCATATGATGAAAATGCCATTACTGGATCCTTTCTCGAACTCTAAGCAACTGGCGCACCACCTAGCATAAACACATAGCTAACTGTGGATTTTCTATCCTCAACATCACTACACAAACTTGAATCAGTGTATCCCACTATCTTGTATTTTTTTTCCTTCATCAGATGCAGGAAACAAAATTCCATAGTCGAGAGTTCCTTTCAGATACCTTAGTATCCTCTCTGT